TAATACCAGCAACAACAAATCCAAAACAAACAAGAATCAACAATCAAATGGTCATTATTATCCCTCAATGTCAATGGTCTTAACATGCCTATAAAAAGATACAGGCTAACAGAATCGACACAAAGACAGAATCAATCCTTCTGCTGCATACAAGAAGCACATCTCAACTTCAAAGACAGACAGTACCCCAGAATAAAGGGTTGGGAAATTTTTTCCAATCAAATGCACCCAAGAAACAAGTGGGTGTAGCAATCCTAATATCTAACAAATTAGACTTCAAATTAAAATCAATCAAAAGAGATGAAGTAGGGCATATCATACTTATTACAGGAAAAGTCCATCAAGATGAAGTCTCAATCCTGAACATCTATGACCCAAATCCAAAGGTACTCATATTTGTAAAAGAAACATTGCTAAAGCTAAAATCACACATAAAACCTCACACACTTATAGTAGGAGATTTCAGCACACCGCTTGTAACGATAAATCTTTCTGCCAAAACCCTCCTGAGCCCCCCCACCATGTGGGAGCTTTACGCCAGCCGCCAGCCAGAGTTAGGCCCAAATGAATACACAGAAACTTGTATTGGGTTCAAAGATGCTTGGCCAATGACTAGGATTCTCATCTGTTAGCTCAGTCTCAATTATCAAACATCTATATATTTTATAAGACTTATCTTATCGGACACCTTATTGGTGTCCCTCCTTGTTGATGGATCACATCGTGCCTCTGGAGCAGGCAAACAGGAAAAAAGGGGCCCTTCCTGTTTCTCCTTCGCTTAAATATGAGTCTCCTTGCTATGTCACTTCCTGCCTGGATCAGCACTTCTCTACTATATTTCCCAGAATCCTCTTTGACTCCTAGTCCCATCTAACTGCTGTCTCATTGGCCAAACAGTGTTTTATTTAACAATCAAAAAGATAAATACATACAGTACATTCCCCATCACCCGCTCTCACCACTAGATAGGACCACCAGACACAAACTTGAATCACAAAGAAACAAAAGAACTAACAGATGTTATTACCCAATTGGGTTTAACAGATATCTATAGTACATTCATCTCAGTGCCACATGGAACTTTCTCTAAGATTGACCACATACTCGGGAATGTAGCAAACCTACACAGATACAAAAAATTGGAATAACCCCCTGTGTCTTATCAGAACACCATGCTTTAAAGTTAGAATTCAACAACAACACAAATTGCAGAAACCCTACAAACTCATGGAAATTAAATAATGTGCAATTTAACCATCCCTGGGTCAAGGAAGAAAAAAAAAGAAATTAAAGACTTCCTAGAATTCAGTGAGAATGAAGACACACATACCCAAAACTATCAGACACTTTGAAATCAGTGCTAAGAGGAAAGTTCATAACATTAAATGCCCACATGAAAAAGCTGGAAATAGTCACACTAGAGAATTAACAGCACAACTGAAAGCTCTAGAATAAAAGGAAGCAAGCACTCCCTGGAGGTGTAGACTCCAGGAAATAATCAAACTGAGGGCTGAAATCATTAAAGTAGAAACTAGGAAAACATTACTAAGACTCAATGAAACAAAGAATTGGTTCTTCAAGAAAGTCAACAAGATAAACAAACATTTATCCAAACAGACCAAAAAGCAGAGAGCGGGAGCAAGCTAATTCACAAAATCAGAAATGAAAAGGGGGACATAACAATGGACACTGAAGAAATCCAGAGAATCATCAGGTCATACTTTGAAAACCTGTACTCCACAGAATTCAAAAATCTAAAGGAAATGGACATTTTCTGGATAGATATCACTGACCAAATTTAAACCAAGAACATATAAGCAAGTTAAACATACCTATAACCCTTAATGAAATAGAAGCAGTCATCAAAAATCTACCAACCAAAAAAAGCCCAGGCCCAGATGGATTCACTGTAGAATTCTATGAGAAATTCAAGCAAGAGCTAATACCAGTACTCTTCAACTTGTTCCACACAATAGCAGCAGAAGGGACATTGCCAAACTCTTTTTATGAGACTACAATTACCTTGGTAGTGAAACCACATAAAGACAAAGAGAATTACAGACCAATATCCCTCAAGAACATCGACGCAAAAATATTCAACAAAATACTGGCAAATCAAATCCAAAAACACATCAGAGAAATCATCCACCATGATCAAGTTGGCTTTATCCCAGGAATTCAGGGATGGTTCAACATATGAAAATCCATTAATGTAATCCACCATATAAACAAACTGAAAAAGAAAAACCACATGATCATCTTGCTAGATGCTGAAAAAGCCTTTGACAAAATCCAACTTGCCTCCACGATAAAGTCTTGAAGAGATCAGGAATAATAGGAACATACCTAAACATGATAAAAGCAATATACAGCAAACCAACAGCCAACATCAAACTAAATGGAGAGAAACCCAAGGCTATTCCTCTAAAATCAGGAACAAGACAAGGCTGTCCACTCTCTCAGTATCTCTTCAGTATTGTACTTGAAATACTATCTAGAGCAATAAGACAACAAAAGGAGATCAAGGGGATACAAATTGGAAAGGAAGAAGTCAAACTTTCACTATTTGCAGATGATATGATAGTTTACATAATTGACCCGAAAAACTCTACCAGGAAACTACTACAGCTGATAAACACCTTCAGCAAAGTGGCCAGTCACAAAGATTAACTCAAAAAAAATTAGTAGCCGTACTATATACAGAAGATGAATGTGCTGAGTAAGAAATCAGAGAAACATCACCCTTCACAATAGCAACAAATAACATAAAATATTGGGTTAACACTAACCAAAAATAAGAAAGACCTGTATAGTAAGAACTTTGACTCTTCAAAGAAAGAAATTAAAGAATATACCAGGTAATGGAACAATCTCCCATGTTCTTGGATAGGTAGGATCAACATAGAAAAATTCCAATCTTACCAAAAAGCAATCTACAGATTCAATGCAATTCCCATCAAAACCCCAACACAATTCTTCACAGACCTTGAAAGAACAATACTCAACTTCATATGCAAAAACAAAAAATTCAGGATAGCCAAAACAACCCTGTACAATAGAGAAACTTGTAGAGACATCACCATCCCTGACTTCAAGCTCCATTGTAGTGCCATAGTCCTGAAAACAGCTTAGTATTGGCACAAAAATAGACAGATAGACCAATGGAAGCAAACTGAAAATTCTGATATTAACCCACACACCTATGAACTCCTGATTTTTGACAAAGGAGCTAAATTTATACAATGAAAGAAAGAAAGCATCTTCAGCAAATAGAGCTGGCATAACTCGATTCAGACATGTAGAAGATTGCAGATTGATCCATATCTATCATCATGCACTAAATTTAAATTCAAATGGATCAAAAACCTCAACATAAATTCAGCCACACTGAACCTCCTAGAAGAGAAGATAGGTGGCACCCTTGAACAAATTGGTACAGGAGACTGCTTTCTGAACATAACACCAGAAGCTCAAACATTGAGATCAACAATTAATAAATGGACCTCCTGAAACTGAGAAACTTCTATAAAGCCAAGGACACAGTCAGCAAGACAAAACACCAGCCCACAGAATGGGAAAAGATATTCACCAACCCCACATATGACAGAGGGCTGATCACCAAAATATACAATGAACTCAAGAAGCTAGCCACCAAAACACGAAACAACCCAATTAAAAGATGGAGTGCAGAACTTAATAGAGAATTCTCAACAGAGGAATCCAAAATGGCTGAAAGACACTTGAGAAAGTGTTCAACATCCTTAGTCATCAGGGAAATACAACTCAAATCCACTCTGAGATATGCATCTTACTCCTATCAGAATGGCTAAATCAATAACACCAATGACAATCTATGCTGGAGAGGATGTGGAGAAAGAGGAACTCTCCTCCATTGCTGGTGGGAGTGCAAACTTGCATGGCCACTTTGGAAAGCAGTGTGGAGGTTTCTCAGGAAAATGGGAATCATTCTATCTCAAGATCCAGCAATCCCTCTCTTGGATGTATACCCAAAGAATGCACACTCATAAAAGGATATGTGTTCAACATGTTCATAGCAGCATTATTTGTAATAGCCAGAACCTTGAAACAACCTAGATGCCCCTCAACTGAAAAATGGACAGATAAAATGTGGTATATTTACACAATGGAATACTACTCAGTGGGGAAAAAAAAGCAATGGAATCTTGAAATTCACAGGCAAATGGATGGAACTAGAAGAAACCATCCTCAATGAGGTAACCTAATCACAAAAAGATAAACATGGTATGTACTCACTCATTTTTTATTTTTAGACATACAGGAAAGGATCCTAGTCTACATTCAACACTGCCTGAGGAGTTAGGAAACAAGGAGGAACTGAAAAGAAGATTGCATAGTCCCTCAAGAAGGGGATGGGGACAAGAACTCCTGACCAAATTGGAGCCCGGGGGCATGCAGAGGAGGGAGAATCTCCATCCAGTTGCTGTTCAAAGCAGAAACAGACACCCATAGCTAAGCACTGAACCATAGTACTGGAATTCAGTTGTGGAGAGGGAGGAGGGTTGAACAAAGGAGCTAAGACAGGGATGGACAGACCTGCAGAAACAGTGGATCTGACCTACTGATAGAATGGAGACACTAATCATAAAGCTGGGGAAACAGCATTGGACCAAACCAAAACCTCTGAATGTGGCTACCAGCAATGACCCCAAGACAGTCTATAGCTCCTCTAACAGCAGAGGCAGTCTTTATCCCTAGAGCACAAATGGATTTTTGGGAGCCCATTCCCTATGGAGGGATACTATTGCAGCCCAGATACAGCAAGGAGGGTCTAGACTCTCCCTGAAACAATATGACAGACTTTGAAGGTCCTTGGTAGAGGGCCTCACTATCCCCGGAGAGTGGGGGTAGGTTGGGTGGAGAACATGGGAGGAGGGTGGGTGAGGGAATGGGGGATGGATATGTATATATGAGTAATTAAAAATAATAAAAAATTAAAAAGATATAAACCCAGGAACAGATAGATTCACAGGCATAATTTTATCAGAACTTCCAAGAACAAATCCTGATATGACTTAAGTTATTCCATGAAATATAAAAGGAATTAATATTTTTTTCAAGTATTTTATGGTCAGTTTTACCCTGATATCAAAATCAACTAAGATCACAACAACAAAAAGGAAAAAAATTACAAACCAGTCTCTTTGATGAATATAAAAGCCAACACTGTCAATAAAATAGCATCAGGAAGAATTCAAGAGTGCTTCAAAATGATCACTTATCACAGCTAAACTGACTTCATTCCAGAGATTATGAGATGGCTCACACATTTAAATCAATAAATTTTATCTATTTTTCCATTTGCTTCTGCCAAAATCTCAAATCACTTATTCATAAGAGTCATGAAAATTTCATGTTGAGAAAACCTCACCATAATAAATGCTATGTCCAACAGACCTAAAGCCAGCATCATGAAAAAATGGGGAAACTCTTAACGTTCCCATGGATAAGAGAGGAGATGATGCTGACATCAGCAGGGTTCTCAATGGCAACAATAGTTGGAGTCTGAAAGCAAAAGCTTCTCCTATGTCCTCTTCAGACTTACGATGTAGATATCATCACTTTTCCTTTTGTAGATGTATTGCTCCATCTGAAAGTCAAGGTTGGTGCCATCTAAATGAGTTCCTCTGGCAAGGAGTTTGAGGCCATCCTCCTCCATCATCTGTAGGACATCAAATGCTCCAGACATTGTTTAAGTTTCCCTTTAAGTTATAAAGGCAATCAAGAATAACACCATAGGGACCCATCCCAGGGTGGTGCGGAAAGCGTATCATGGTATTCTTAACTCATTTTTTTCCAAAGAGAGCTAAATTAATGTGGTAAAGGCCAAACTGCTAAATTATCTGTGCCTACCTTAAACTTGTGTGAAACAAATAAAAATCAGAACACAGTCAAATTATTGCCACTTTAAATTCATTTCAAATGTGATTATGCCCCTGTAATCTGTTGCCAGGAAGAATTTCCAAATAGTGGAGTGAATTATCTCTAAGACATTCACCAGACTAAGTATTTGGCATTTTCTCTTTTCCTATTGCTCTTCAGTGGAGCAAATAAACCCCCTGCAAGTAATCACAGAAATAGTGTGGAGAGAACATCAACCAAATTAATGTCATCTCAACCTTGTTCTTCAAAACAAATACTGGGATGGAGTGAAAAGATAATTAGCTTAGAAACAAGAGAGAATTTATATTTTCTAATTTTTATCCATATACAGTATTTTGTAACATATATTACATATGTAACATATATATGCAATATATATATATGTGTGTGTGTGTGTGTGTGTGCAACATGTATGTTACACACACTTATATTACAAGTCACTCACTTGATAAAGCCTTTATATAGTAATCTTGTATTGATACTTGCTCACACTTTAACTGTCCCTAAACCAAGCTTGTTTTCCTATCATGTCTATGATCCTTTACTTAAGTCCTTTCATCTGTCACAACATACCTCCCAGAAACAATTGGAGCACACCTTCCCATCTCTTGGGGGTCATCACACACTTTTGTTGCAGGTAAATCTTCCTTGCTGTAGATCCTGGCACCCCTTGCAAGGAAAGAGATATCTGTTCATTCATTGGCAGTGCAACCACATGACCTCTAACACCCAATGATCACTCCAACTTCACACCATCAGGACAAGAATTATTTCCTCATTGATGATGCAATATAAAGTACCTGAGATGGGGAGGATTCCTTTAACTTTTAAACATGATTTTAAAGGTTCTATTTCTAAAATTATGTAATATTAGAATATGCCCATCTTTAGACTAATCTTTTGCCTAAATTAAGAGTATCTTGACACCATAAATATGTGTGATATAACATGTTAATTGCTTTAATTTAGCCATGCCATTGTGAACATACTGTATTGTGTATCATAATTGTGACTTTAAATAAATGAATGGAAAAAACAAATAAACTTAAAAATAACTATTATCTTTTAAAAAAGAGTATCACTACTTGAACATTACAGATAAGAAAGAATAAATTGGATTTTTTTTATCATTACCCCACCATGAACCCAAAAAAGTAGAATCTCAAGTTTTACTGTTCCTAACTTAAAATCTTTCTCCTCCAACAGTAATTGAAACCTTGTAGGTGGCCTCTCTGTCTTCAATCTTTGGCTCTCTACTTATTTCTTCTTGCCATTATCAAATTATGTGTGCACTTCCCATCTAGACACCTGCCATGTCCCTTCAGAGTACAGTTCTTTGAAAGATTTTTTATAGTCATTTCTTGGGCTCCTGGTTGTTGAATCTATTACATATCATAAACCACTTTACCAAGATAATTGGTCAATAGAGTACAGATTTCTCAATCATTTCTATGTCATTTGATACTGTTTTTCTCTCTCATATTAGGCCTAAGCATATGCATCCCCTTGGCACCTATACTTTGTCAGCTGAAACTTCTTCACAGTGGCCACTTCTCCCTTTAACTGCACATTAATATTACTTGAGGATCTGTCACAAGTTCTAAGGACATGGGTTATTCACTTGTTTCCAAGTGTTGGTGCTGTTTGAGAGGCTGAAGAGACAAGAATGTTGAACCTAGCTTAAGACAACAGGACAGTGAGGGGAAATCTCAGGGGCATCTTGCTCATTGTCTCTCTGTGTCCTGTCTGTCTTGATGTTTCTGACACTCACATACTGCCATAATGTTCTGTCTAACAGTGGCCTAGATACATGGAGCCAAGTGACAATGGACCTTCTAAAACTGAGAGCCAAAATAAATTTTTCCCCCTGAAGTTGTTTCTGTGAGATATTTTATCAAAATAATGTGAAAATTAACTAATAAGATACAAGTAAGTTTACTCCTGTGAAAGGTTGGTGGTTAGCACTGGGTGGTAGTCAGAGTTTCTGTCCAGCCTGGTTCTACTGCCCTTCAACCTCAAATAAATACACAGAGACATACTAATTATAAACTGTTTGGTCGATTACCCAGGCTTCTAATTGGCTAGCTCTTTCTTAATTATTAACCCATAATTATTAATCTATGTATTATGGCCTTATCTTACCAGAGAACACCCAGTACATCTTATCTTCCTGGTGTCTCCCTGCCGGCTCCTCTCTGCCCTTCTCTCCCCAGAATTCTCCTTGTCTGGTAGTCCTGCCTATACTTCCTTCCTGGCTACTGGCCTCTTGGTGTTTTATTCATGAACCAGTAAGAGAAACTTATATACATAAAGATATCCCCCATCGCTGGGTCAGTCATCACCACGAGACATACCTGGATTTGGTTAGTGATGGTCCCAGGAGTGAAGCAGAGAGTGGTTGGAGGGGACCCAGTGATGGTGATAACCTTCAGCATAGCCTACCAACAGCAGCTTTTCTGGGATGGATATTCTTCTGATTTATGGTGTAGATTTCATCACTCCCTATTGGTAGATGTGCTGTTCTGGAAGTCAGAGTTGGTACCACTTCAGTGGGTTTCTGCTGCAAGGGATTGATATTCTCTTCCTTCATATGAAGGACATAAAAAACTCTAACCATCATGTGAAAGTTTCCTCATAAACTATGGGAATAATGAATGACACCATATGGATTCCACCTTGGGTGGACTAGGAAAACTAACTTTTTAAACAAATATATTACGTTACTTGTATTCTCTCAATATATATTTATAGATCATGCACTCTGTCTAGCAACCAAAAATGTCTGAGTATTGTATTCAAATTGTCTTTATTGTAGCAGACGCAAAAAACGTGAATTTTCATGGAGAAATAATGGTGATATTATTATCAAATATGATACTCAAATCCTAACATTCATATTAGCTGAAATAAGTTGATATTTATATCTATACAACTATAATGATTCAAATTAAAGTATTACTTGAATTTTTAGACATAGAAAATAAATAGGATTGCTGTGCATTTCAGATATTTCAGAAAAAGAGCTTGTGCTTTCACTACCTCCTTCAGAAAGCTGATATTTCTATCATTATTAATGTCTTTGATAGACATATCATATTTTGAATTTACTGATCAGCAGTTTTTATTTATAATACTATAAAACTGAAAAAGAAAAAATGGTATCTGAATGGCTTATGATATCTTTATGCATGCATGTACGAATCATTAAGTAGTTGCCACTCTCTCTTCTCCAGTGCCGATTTATTTACTATTCATTTATTTATTCTTCTCTGTATAATGAGCCCCTAGAGTATGTTTCATTATAGGAGAAAGCTCACATTCCTCACTTGCGGTCAGTGGTATGTGGTTAATTTGAAATCACTTAAACTATTAAATCTGTCAAGTGCAGTGATTTTATTTTCAATTCACATCAGTGTTTTAGTATGCATTTTCGCTACTGGGTCAAACTGACAAATTAATTTAGGAGCATTCTCTGGGAATACTCTTCATTGCTGTCATTATTTGCAGGCCACTATTTGAAATTAATACCTTCCTATTAAAATTGACTTCCAAAGCTATCACACTTAACATAAACAATAATGTATAGATAAAAATTGGTGCTATCTTCACAACTCCTATATTTTGAGGCCATTTAGTTACATAATTTTTTTTGAAAATTCAACTCTAAAAGTAACAAGATGCTGAAAGAGACCCTTAGCATCTTGTAGCAATAAGCCTGAAAATAGCCTGGTGAGGGTTTTTTTTTTCTAATTGTTCAGTTCTTCATCATACCCTGTGTTTCAAGGTGTGTGTGTGTGTGTGTGTGTGTGTGTGTGTGTGTGTGTGTGTGAAGCATGGGAGAGGGGGATGAGGGGGAGAGAATCAGAGCTTGGATGCTTCATGGCATAGTTATTTAAAGATGAATATTGGATTATAAAAAATATTCTAGATCAAACTTGATAGACACAAGAACTAAGAATGCCACAATACTATCAATTCAGTCTACCCCTTTAACTCATTTATAGCCATGCCAATAAAAAGTAAATACACTTTAAATAAGCATCCAGAAAAAGGACTGCCCTAATAGTACATTATTGCTAAATAGTATTTTGCAGTGTATAGTCATGCCTTCATTTTTTTAATAATACTGCCAGCTGCTAAGCCTTCAACAGTCAACTACATTCCTGAGAGTTCTGAAAAGGTGACAAATATCTGATTAATAATAACTTGGTAGCAAAGATAGAAGATTTCAACAACAAGAAACACTGGTCATGCATCAAACTTTTCATTTACTCTGAATGTAAGAATCACACACTCTAGAAGTAATGCTTTGACATGACCCCTCTTTTAATTAAATTGAGTACACGAAATAATGAATTATTTGTAATCATAAGCAACCAGAAAAACTTCAAATTTCAAGACCCTGTACGAGATCTGATAGCCAGACACAAATCAAAGTTTAAAATGATCCAGAGTTGAACTGGAAAAACAAACTGCTGCTTTTCTAGTAGTAGAGTTAATGTCATAAGACAATGCGTGTAGTGAGTATCAATACCCATTTCAGCCAGGAAGAACAAGGATGAGATATGGACTGATGTTAAGATATTTTTGTTTAACTTTATCATTTCTACATTATTTTCCTTTTTTCCATTCCCTCATCCTCTTATTTATTCATTACAGGGTGCTATAGCATTACTAATCAGTAAACTCTAGTAATTCTAACAATGTCCTAACTCCTCTGTTTTCTAACATTATAGGAGATGCATCCAACGTACCAAATGAAAAGATTCAAACCAGACAAAATGCCAGCTCGGAAGCAAAGGACCACCCCCACTGAGGAGCTATTTAAGACAGACACCAGGGGGTGAAAAAAAAAAGGGGGAAAATCAGTTTTCTCCAATGGAGTGTCACTAGGTATATAAACTTTTTTCTAGGACAGGTCCCATGCTCAGGACCAACTGGTTAATACAAACAGACTCCTTGTTTTTTGAAGTGTTTTGTTTCCTATTGGTATTTTTTGTCCTACTGATTTTTTAAAATTTTAGTTTGTCTGTTTTTATTTTCATTTTGGGGTTTTGTCATGTTTTTGTCGAACAGTGATAGAAAGAGATAAAACACTAAGTTGGGTGGGAAGTTCCGGGAGAAATTGGGGAAGATGAAAGAATATCAAAACATATTCGATGAAAAATAAATTTAATAAATTTTAAAGGGCAGAATAAAATACAAATATTTCCATTAGAGTTACTTTATAGGAATAAGCTTATTAGAACTCATCATAGCATGTTTTATTTATTCTACTAAAATTTCCATTATCTTCAAGCATGTGTGAACTCTATTAGGAGAACTTTTGAAGAATAGTTTCTAAGCCATTTGAGAAAAACATGTTTATTACTTTTTTACCATACCACATATGTTCTATAACCTTATTCAGCACATTGAGCTTCAAATGACTACTGGCTAATTCTCATTGTCCTACTTATTCTTATTTAATGTTGTTTAATGTTGTCATTGTAGACAATATTAAACAACAAACCACATATGATCAGCCAGTTCCAAATAAAGTATTTTTCCCAGACTTGCAAATTTATCTAGAAAATATTTTAAGACTTACATCCTCAGAATAAATGGATAACCTCCCAGAAGAACAGAGATACAGGAAAAAGATTCTGTGGCAGGGTGTGTGTGTGTGTGTGTGTGTGTGTGTGTGTGTGTGTGTGTGTAAGGAAAGCTGTGTAATCACATTCTAGACCGATAGTCAAGTGAGTACGTTAGACGCAATTGCTTCTCAGTTAACCTTATTATTTACAAATTCATTAAGCATTAAATAAATTTGACAAGAAAAATAGCTCTATAGGTAAAATATACTTTATATTAAAAGAAATGGCTCAGCAGGCTAAAGCATTTGCTACCAATGCTGAAGACTTGAGCTTCATTCCTGGGACCTATGTGGTAGAAGGAGAAAATCAACTCCCACACGGTGTCCTCTGTCATCCACATATATGCCTTGCATACACACACACACACACACACACACACACACACACACACACAAGTAAGTACATAATAAATATAACTTTGAGAAATAAAATTAAAGGCTCTTATTAAACATAAGGTCAAAAATGAACTTGTCAAAGGCTAAATGTGTTTATGGAGTCAAATAAGCATTTTTTAAAAAACATACAGATACCTTTTTACCTACTTTTGTTAAATCTTACATTTTAAAGACATTTTAACCCATGGTTACATTCACCTTACATCCTTCCAATGCAAAGCTCTTTAGCTGAGAAGCAGAACAATTTTAGAATCACAACTTTCAGTGAACCCAATCAACTGATAGAGTGGCAGGTCCTTGCCTCTGCTGAGATTACTATGCTGATGAAGCCGAGTGGGCCAATTTACACTGCTAAAGGAAGTTCCTCAGACCTTGGCCTGACATCTTGCAAATGGGAGCCATCAGTCACAGGGAAAGGCTGGGGGAAGTGTCAGCTGAGTACAGCCAATTTATCCCCATTGCAGAAAAACAGCTTCAAGTCCAGCCCAGCTGATGGTTATGCTACAGCATTTCTCTTGTTAATAAAAGGGGGAACTAGCGTCCAAACAAGACTGAACTGGCATAGCCCACTGTATAAATCCTACCTGCAAAAATGAACTTTTAAGACCAAGTGTGTCCACAATTACTTAGCTAGTCATCAATTCTTGGTTTGATGAGGACTGAAGCAGGAACAATAGGAGGTATAGAGAGAATTGAAAACAATGTACAAATTTAATTATAATGCATTCTTTGCCAACTTTTGAAAATGATTGGCAGCTACTCAAAAAGAAACTAACTTCTAGCAGAAAATTACAGTAATTAATTAAATAAAACAAAAAAAATCAAAGCATTGTGAGTCCGAGTTTTGTTTTACCTATTAATGAGGGAACTAGCAGTATGCCAAAGCCAGTTGCAAAGAAAATTTGGGAAACTGAAGGCTCTCAGTAGGAAACAAAAAAAGAAAGAAAAGATGAAATAAAAGTGCCAATATAGGCATAAGATTGGTAAGGCACAACAACACAACTCTCACATCTAAATACTTTTTTACAGAATTGTAAATGGACCTAATCAGTTGTATAAACAAAGCCAAATTCTCTCATAGCACATTTGAATCATCCAGAAGTTTCAAAAACAAAAACACTATTGTTACATCATAACTTCAATATTCTGATTACATTTGAGTGACAGCTGAGATGCAGTTTCTAATATTTGCAGCTGATGCTCGTGTTCAATGATGCTGAGAGTTATAGCCAAAGACAGCAGCAGTGATTTGAGTTTTGCACCAATGCCATACTGTCCAATGTGCAGTCTACATCCACAAGTACCACCATCACCTGGGAACTACTGGAAATTTGGAGTCTCAATCTTTTTCCTAAATGTACAATCAGAAACTTGTAAGATATTGAGGGCCTCTGAGTACCAGCCTTAGTAACCCGTCAGGGTCCAGAAAGAACGCTAGCTACAGTAATCGCTGACCTTAGAAAACATCTGAGGGCGAAATAAAATTCTC